CCTGTTCCTTCTTCCAGGGTAGCGGGGACTGTCCTGTAAGAATCTCATTAGGAAACCCCGCCCCGACAGACTCCATTCTGTTCCCTAAGCTCATATGGAAACTGCCATTTTGATGTGGTATAAATCCCCAAGTGCCTAATGCTGTGGGGAAGGAAGTGTTAGAAAGATGAAACGTCACCTTCAGAAGTCTGTAGACCGTTATGTCAAGAAACAATAGTTTCACGTTTTGATATTTTTGTTTAATAAAGCTTTCTATCATTCCCCAGCAATGTCTTACTTTTCCTCATTTACTTCCAAGAAGAGGGCCAGGGCCCCAAAGAAAACGGACAAAGGAATCTCTTCAGGAAGCAGAACCACAGCTGCCAGAAGACCATGCAAGGGCTTTTTCTACTCCCAGGGCCGGGACTGTTAGGCCTTTGCAGCAAGAGGTGCTCAGTGGGACAGCCTGCTGACTGCCGCTGCCATGTGCCCAAGGAGGACTTTTGTATAACAGAGGATGTTGTATCATTATCTTTTCCTTTCTCTTCTGTATGTAATGTTGGAAGAGAGGGGGTTTAACTTTGAGCTTATTGCACTGCAGCCCAAGCATGCTGTATTTAGACGCACTGAAAGGTCTTCACATCACCTCAAGGTCCTGGTCTTGGATCTGAACATACTATCAAGGGACGTGGAGGATGTTGTTGTTGAACAGAGCCAAGGGTGACAGTGAGTACGAGAGAGAGAAAGAGGTTGAGTAGTGAAGGATGGATTGCAGAAAAGATGACTGTCAACTGACGAGCTGGTCTCCCTTTCCTCCTTAGTCATCACAAGTTCAATGCTGACGAGAGGCTCAGGTGACCCCATTTTGTCATTGAGCTTATATAGCGGGGCAGGGTTTACTGGAAAACTCTTCAAAGGGATCTTAGCCAGTATGTAACATTTTGCTTTTCTTCAACGAGGACTTAGGAATTTTGTTTTTAAACAAATTTCTATTATAAATTAGGAGGGGTTTATATTTCAGATCATCAACTTTGTATTAAACAGTTTAAATCACCAATCAAACCTTCCAATCATTTATCTTTCCGGCTTCTTGGACCAACTTCCATTTCACTCAAGCTGTATCTTCCCTCCTTTACACACTGTCCCCTTACCCCCACCAATCTCCAGAATCTATTCTCTTTGGTATGGAGTCTTTATCTTGGCATCTCTCCACAACAACACCACCCCCTCCAATCTTATATTAGCAATCTCCTATTTATCCTTTTGTGATTGGCAACGTAGGTGATTTTTGACCGTGAACAAATCTAAGGATGGTTAGGTAGGTAGAAGATAAGAAAGCCTTGGTCCTTAATGTCACCTTGGAGATTCTGTACCAGCTCTGGAGAAAATAAAGTCAAATTTATCCCTGTCACTCTGCCACATGTAGTCAAACTCAATCTCTAAATAATACACACGAAGTCCTATAATCTGAGAAACTAGCCAGTTTTGCTGGGGGAAAAACAACAGAATTTTCAAAGAGCAAATTGGGTACTACAGAGACCAGAGTATCTTCAGCAATTATTTAGGTTATTCCCAGGTTTCCTCATAGTCACGCCAGGCACGGTAGGTCAGTCAGGTACTCTTTCCCAGGAGTTAGGAACACGCTCAAACAGCTATAAATGATCCATTGGTTTGGTCCCAAGATAAGCCTATTTTTTATTTGCATAAACTAGTTTCTCTCAGCTCTACTACTCTAAGAGTTGAAGATAAAATTATAGACTTCAAAATGGGAAAAGAAAAAACATAGGTCAAGTAAACATTTCTATACATAATAAACAACTCAAAAGAGGACTGAACAGTGCAACCTAATTCTATGACTAGATAAGCCACATTTCTCCCCAGAGAACTTGTTTATGCAATCGAAAAAACAAACAAGAAAATCTATCTATTGCATAGAGCCGATACGAAGATCATGTATACCTGAATGTATTTAAAGAATTGGATTCTAAAGGATACGAATATCTAATTAGTCAGCCTAGTGTGTGGTAGTGTACAGGCTGTGTGTGCGCATACTGGGTCCTGTATGGTACAGTGGTCAGGGGTGGGGCTGCGAAGCACAAGGTTAGCTCCTGGAAACCACAAGGAGTTCCTTGGGAGAAAGATGGGTCTGTCTGCTCCTATGAAAATCTAGTCTTAGAAACTCAAAGGGGCAGTTGTTCTCTCCCTCATAGGGTTGTTATGAGTCAGAATCGCCCCACTCAATGGCAGTGGGGACAGTGTATTTAAAAAATAAAATAAAAAGCCATTGTTTTTAGTGTCATTGAGAGCCAGGATTTTCAGCATGGGAGAAAGGATTTTTCAATTTTACCAATGTAAAACTGAAGTAAAACCTTATAGCTCTGAATGGATCAAATAAAATTATCCACAAGTTGATGAATGGCTGAAGCTGGGTGACAGAATACATTATATGTTTCTTTGCATTTTAAAGGTTTGACATTTTCTTTAAAAAGATTATTCTGATGAGTACTTTCTTTTGAAAAGTAAGGATTATGTCTTCTTACTAGTTCTATTTCCCCTGAATTTTCATCTTTAACAAGAGGATACACAGGTACAACAGTGGACCGGGACTGTCAAATTTAGCATCTTCAGGATACAGCCCACCGGGTACATGCAATCTACCCCTGAAGAACATGGACAGCAGCCTCTGTGTACTCAACGTCTCAAGCTCAAATTGATCAAAACTGAGCTCAGATCAGGGACTCCACGCTACTTCCTCTGGCTGTGACCACAAACACAAATGGTTTAATTGTGAATCATCATCTTGGTGGGGCCCAGTATCTCTGTTCTCACCAGGCCGAGGGTGGGGGTACAGAAACTCCCTTCATTATAAATCTGGAATTCAACATATGAAGGGAAAGATCCGTTGCTGAAAAGCCCTACAACCAATGCCAATTTTCAAACTGCAGTTAGCACTCCTTTCCTTTCACGGAGTTACGTGTCTTTAACCTAACACTTGATTGAAATTACCAAAAAATTAGGTAATCTGGTTCTTCAGTACAAAACCCTACTAAATCACCAAAGTTAGATGTTAGTCTTCCAGAATCCATTTTAATTATCTTCCAAGCAACCTTGTCATCGTATCCTGAATCCTCAGTTCCCTGGCTCTTTCCTCACTCATTGGTAATGGGCAGAAAGTGAAGTCTGTCCCACCAACTGAGAAGACACAGGGAGTTCTGAGATAGACAAATGACAGGCTCTATGAGAAGTCTGGGGAAATTTCCATGAGCTTTCCATTCCATTTTCCCACAAACTCGTTGAAGTCCTCTCCTATATATTCAGTTTTAGGTAACCCGGCGATGCAGTGGTTAAGTACTTGACAGCTAACAGAGGCTGGCCGTTCAAATCTACACAGCAGCTCCACGGGACAAAGACTTGGCGGTCTGCTCCTGTAAGGATTATAGTCTAGAAAACCCTCAGGGGCAGTGCTGCTCTGTCACATGGGGGCACTGTGAGTCAAAAAGGAGATCGATGGCAACCAATACACCACCACCACAACACAAAACAGGATACAACTGTTTAATCACTGGGAAGAAACACAATATAAAATAAAACCCAGACACTTGCAGCACACTTTCCTTCCCTAAGGTTGATGCTGTGGTTTCTAGAGCATGTGGTGGCAGATAACCATGACACCAGCTCTTACATGCTGAGTGTCATGCTTGAAATAATAAAATTCGGAAATACTTTTGAAACACAGGTTCTGGTTTTTAAAATCTGCCCGTGCAGATCGTATATGCAGTGTACATTCTCAAGATGGTTTAACTATAGAAACTCTCACTGTGGCATTTATACTGCTTTGTGTTGTTGGGTTAGGCATTGGGCTGCTCAACCACAAGGTTGGTAGTTCAAGCCCACCAGCTGCTCCTCTGGAGAAAGATGAGGCTGTCTGCTTCTGTAATGATTTCCTCTCTGTAAGATCACTATGAGTTGGAATGGACTTGATGGCAGTGGATTTGGTTTGATTCTGTTATGAGAGGTGGGACCTGCTATCTAAAGCTTTTGAAGCTTTATTTAAAGATCAATCTTGGCCTGTCAGGATAGGACAGGCTGGATGAACAATCTGGAGGAGAAAACAACGGGACTGACAGTTACAGGGGGACATGGGAGAGGGGGAGG